TATTGGATATCCTGTATTATTGAGAATATTTTATCAAAAATTCCTGTATTTTCCTGTATTTCATTGTTTTACAATCAAAACTTCAAATTCATACAATTTCCAAAGAATCATACTTTTGCAAAAATTTAAGTGTTTGCACAAATGTCTTTAGAATTGAATTAATTAAGTTTAAATTCATTTAATTTCTAGCATTAGTTCATATTGTGGGTAAACAGTAGGTGTGCAAGATTAATATTATTAACAAATCTGAATATTTTAGTATTTTTATTGTTGATTGCTAAAATATATATTCCTGTATATTTCAATGTACAGGAATGACACCTTCCTGTACTCTGCAAAATTCCTTAATTCCTGTATAATACAGGTCATTCCTGTATATCTGGCAACGCTAGTTTATAGCTATTCAATGTACAATTGTGTATAACATAATAAATTACATTTACTTCTCTCTCTCTAAGATAAGTATTGTATTCTTTATACTAGGCTATATATTTTGTAACTTGAATGCAATATGAATGATATATGTAATAAAATTATTATTTAATAAATAAATAAAAGTATGATATTATATTATTTATATTATTTTATTTGTTATACAGTATTTATTATTAATAAATTATTACCATAACTTTTATAAAAATCCAAACGTGGTACAAATACAATACTTATCTGCACAGGAAATACATAACTATTTGAATAATAAAATTAAGATTAAATAAAATTTTAATTAGAGAGAGAGAGAGAGAGAGAGAGAGAGAGAGAAGTAAATGTAATTTATTATGTTATACACAATTGTACATTGAATAGCTATAAACTAGCGTTGCCAGATATACAGGAATGACCTGTATTATACAGGAATTAAGGAATTTTGCAGAGTACAGGAAGGTGTCATTCCTGTACATTGAAATATACAGGAATATATATTTTAGCAATCAACAATAAAAATACTAAAATATTCAGATTTGTTAATAATATTAATCTTGCACACCTACTGTTTACCCACAATATGAACTAATGCTAGAAATTAAATGAATTTAAACTTAATTAATTCAATTCTAAAGACATTTGTGCAAACACTTAAATTTTTGCAAAAGTATGATTCTTTGGAAATTGTATGAATTTGAAGTTTTGATTGTAAAACAATGAAATACAGGAAAATACAGGAATTTTTGATAAAATATTCTCAATAATACAGGATATCCAATATATTTTCTGGCAACGCTACTATAAACTGTAATTTTATAATTATATGTAAAATCATTCATTTATAAGCAACGAGTTTACCATAACTTTTGATGAGGCGTGAGACTCACATTAAGGTCGTTATACAACTGCAGCAATTAAAGTCAGGTGCTTTTACTTTTTACAAAAATATTCACTCTCAATAGATGGCACCAGAGGTTCCATTAAGCTAATAATTTTTAGTTTGAGAGATAGTGAGAGAATATTCTGTAAATTGTACATTTATTATTACTACAAATTATATCATATAAATATCATTATTTATAAAGTAAAATTTAAAATCAGAATTAATTTTACAGTTCAAACAAATAACAACATATTTACTCAAAAATACAAAGTTTGTTTTATAAAATTAAATATTAAAAAACAATTTACTCATATTTATCAGTAAAAAGTCAATCCGGACGCGTTGTTCCATTAGTCAAAATATATGCTCTTGTTACATGGTCTTATTTGTTTTAAAATACATTATTACAGTTTATTATTTTTACAAATTATAGATCTGGACATATAGATCAGTTGAATAACCCTTCAAAAATTTAGCACATGCTGCTCGAGTTGCATCAGTCATAACATAGGGACCCAATTTATCATTTAACTCGGCCATGATCGCTTCGATCATGCGGTCAAACACATCCTTGGTCACTTTTCTTCGCTTATGACAGACGGCCTGTTTGCGCAAAAATTTGTGCGTCTCGTCCCAACTCTGGCCCATAACTGTGTCGATGAGTGTCGACACTAACTCCAAGTCTCCGACACCGGCTTTGATAACCTCGTCGTTGCCCCGGAGGTCACCCTTGAATTGCGGGAAC